TTTTACTCTTAAAACTAGATCATTCCTAGCCAACCATAGGCTCCATAACGACGTTGTAAAGCTTACAAACCAAGCCAAGGCTTTAGATTCTGACCATCTAAACTGAAAACAAAACTCAAAATTTTCATCCACTGTCTGCAAATTAAAGTCTGGAATATGCCACCACATGCAGAAAGCATTCCAAAAACAAGCCATAAAAATGCAAGACACAAATAGATGATTCACATCCTCTTCAGTATCTCCACACCATGGGCACAAGCGTTGAATATCGGACAACTTAATCCCTCTATTAAAGAGGAATACCTTAGTTGGAACTCTATTCAATTTAAGAATCCATAGAAAATATTTCACCTTCGGTGGGACTTTTAGACTCCATAGTTTGTCAAAATTAAACGCACATACATCTTCAAAATACCCATCACTAAGAAGTAACTCGGTCAATTTCTTAACCTTAAACAAACCATCAGTCTCATACACCCATACAATCTGATCAGTCACATACGAATTAAAACTCACATCGTCCACTTCACGTTTATGATTAGAACAGTCTTTAATTCCCTGGCAAGCAATTGTCGCTCGAACAAAGATGTTGTATCTAAGTTTTTCCATTCACCTGCAGAAATCATGTCCCACACTGAAATAAATTTTCTCAATGTTAACCTGTAAATATGAGGATATCTTGATCTTAAATCACTTTCCCCAAACCACACATCCTCCCAAAATAATACTGATTTCCCATCACCCACTACCTACCTGAATGATTCTCCACTCATCCATTTTGATGTACCTTCACTAGACAAATTATGCACGATCCCTCTCCATGTTATCGAAGCTTTCTTGATATCTCCAAGACTAACCAACCAAGGCAGATCACCTGAGCCATATTTGTGACTAATTACTGACCTCCATAATGCCCCTCTTTCAATTGCAAATCTCCAACCCCACTTAGCGAGTAACACCATATTCTTTGCCTTTAGATTGATTATTCCAGCCCCACCTTTCTTTTTCGGACAACACAATTTACCCCAATTCACCCTTGGTAATCTATTTTTGTTTCCATCATAACCCCACAAAAAACCTCTTCTAATCTTATCAATTTTTAAAGCAACCACTTTTAAAACATGTAATATCGACATATAATACAATGGAAGCATTGACAACACTGAATTAACGAGAACCACTCACCCAGCAAAACATAGCGTCCTGCTTTTCCAGCCCACCAATTTAGCTTTAAACTTATCAATTACAGGTTCCCACGTCGAAATTCTTTTGGGATCTGCAACTAACGGAATTCTCAAATATTTAAACAGTAATGCGCACACAGAACAACCACCTAAATGAGCTAGTTGTTTTATTTTATCTTCTTCAACCTTCACCCCTGCTAAGCACGACTTCCTGAAATTAATGCTTAAACCTGAACCCAATTCAAAGCATATCAGGATTCTCTTAACATTGACCAGACTTCTTTGATCTGGACGAATGAACAATATTGTATCATCCGCAAATTACAAATGTGAAATACTTATATTTGGTGCCACATTTTCAATACCATCAATGTATCCTTTGTGAACAGCTCCTTCAAACAAAAGATGAAGATCCTCAATTATCATTATAAATAAAAAGGGGGACAATGGATCTCCCTACCGTAAACCTCTGTACATTTTAAATTATTTTATAGGAGACCCTTTTAAAAGAACAAAAACTCTAACTATCGAAATACATTCCCAAATCCAACGTATCCATGTACTTCCAAAACCCATATTATACTGCATGGAGTCTAAGAACTCCCAATAAACACAATCATATGCCTTTGCAAAATCTAGTTTTAATATCAATCCACCTCTCCCTCCCCTCTCTATATTCAATGAATGAATGACTTCATTTGCCACTAATATTCCATCAAAAATCTGCCTACCTGATATAAATGCACATTGAGTCTCACTAATCACTTTTCCAATCACACCTCTTAATCTCTTTGCTAACAGTTTAGCAATTATTTTTTACAAGCTGCTCACTAACGAGATCGGTCTATATTCTAAAATTTTAGTCGGATTGGCCACCTTTGGAATCAATGCTAAAAAAGATGAATTAACATTCTTACCCAATTTTCCATTCTTATAGAAAATGTCCATGGTCTTCATCAGATATGCTTTTACCCAATCCCATGATTTCTTAAAAAATACTATATTGAATCTATCCGGACCCAGAGCTTTGTCCTGCCCATAACTCCACACTGCATCCTTTACTTCTTCAATAGAAAAGATCGCTTCCAGCCCTTCTACATCCGCCCTTGATAGTTGTTTGAATGGTAAATTGATCTCCGTCTTCCACTCATTTTCCTTGCATCTGAAGTGGTTGCTAAAGAAATTAAAAACCTTAGCTATAAGTTTATCCGGCTCACATTCATCGGCCTCTCCCAAATTAGCTCCCAAAATCAAGCGTTTTTTACTCCGCATCTTAACTGCTCTATGGAAAAAAGTAGTGTTTCCATTTCCCAATTTCAGCCAGTTCGATCTTGATTTCTGGCGCCATATATCCTCCTTTTCCTTCAATATGTCCCATAGCCTCCTAATACAACTCATTAATTCCTCCATTTCTTGGTCATCTAGCCCATCAACATCGCCTTTCATATCTAACTCATTAATCCTCTTCACCATTCTTTTTGCTTCAATATCAACATTCCAATAGCTCTGTAAATTCCATTTCTGAAGTACTCCTTTCACCCTTCTTAATTTCACGCTTAAATCTGCATCACCTTCTTCTTCATGCTGTAATGTCTTCTTAATAATCTCAATAGAACTCTCCTGATTTAACCAAAAATTAATCAGTTTAAAAGGTCTAGGCCCCCAATCCACCACTTTCTTCCCCAATAATATAGGGATATGATCTGAGACTGTTCTCGGTAAACCAAAAAGAGTTGCATCGCTATTTTTATTAAACCATTCATCCTCAAAAAAAATTCTATCTAAATGACTCTTTCTATTTCCCGGTCCAAACCACATAAATTTTCTCCCAGATAAAGGCATGTCAAATAGATTACAAGCCTTTATGAACAAATTGAACTCTACAATCTCCGTTTGTCTGTGAGAACACCCGTTTCTCTCGCTGTTATTTCGTACTGCATTGAAATCACCTGCCATGAACCATCTGTTCTTATTTTTCCTCCTAACTTCCACAATTACATTCTATACTATGACTTGTTCAGATACTTCATAAGGAGCATAAATGTTCATAAGAGAAAATATCAAATCATGTGAAGCATACTTCCCTTCTATCAAAATAAATCTCTCTGTAATTAAGCTATCCAGGATCTGAAATCTACTCTTATCCCAAACAGACAAATACCCCCAGATTTTCCCATTGCTTTTGAGAATCTAAATTCAAAGTCATCATCACACCAAAAACTACTAATTTAAGTATCCTTAAAATCCTCCTTCTTAGTCTCTTGTAACAATGCCATCTCAATTCTATAAATCTGAATAAACTTCCTAAGCTCTGAGATTTTCACATTAGAACCCATGCCTCTTATATTCCATGACAGAATCCACATCTGGGCACCTCCTCCTCTGATACCTTCTAGAATTCAATAGACAGGGATTGAGACTCTCCTTCAAGATCTTCCAAAACTGAAATTTCCTTAACCAACGCCTCCTCTAAGCCTTTAAACTGAATACCCAACTCTCTACCATTTTGTAAAGTTTTCCTCGCTTCCCTCTTTTACCTCTACCAACGTTCTTGAAGATCCGAATCATACGAGGACCTTCCATCAAGTTCAGTCAACTCTTCCTCACTTAGCTCCTTCTTATGGTTTTTCTTCACACGACAGCTTCTATTCTTTCTCTGGGTAACACATTATTTTTATTGAATTTTTTGGATAAAACTGTATTTCTTAATTTTCCCCCCTCCTTTGCTCTAACGTTCTGCTTAGGTTTAGGAATAAAAATATCATCGCTCGACTTCGTTTGCATGCAGAGCCCCTTTTCCCATTCTTGCCCCTCCCGTCCCAAACTGGGCTTACTTACCTTCGGATCTACCAAGCACCCGTCCAATTGATCCTCATTAGATCCTTTTTTAGAAAAGAAATTTGTAAGGCCCATATAATCCGTATCCTCCATCGCATTTGAACCTAACCTCCCTTCCCATAGAGACAAATCCTTTAAATTCTCATTTATACCTTCATTATCATCCACCGCCTTAAGAAGTAACCTGAAATCATCTTTTGCCACATCCACCTCATTTTTCACCTCCACCTTGTATTGCTTTTGTAATTTCTCAAAACAAACATCATTGACCCTCTGACCCATAATTGCTTCATCCCTTATGTTTCTCTCTACGTTTTCCATCCCCGACATACAACCGCCTCTTAAAATGTTCCCCATTCACATTAAATGACTATCATCTTCCTCATGCCACCTCTCCTACTTCTCCTCCTCCGATGTCTCTATACTCTTACCTGCCAATGAACTCGAATCATCAGTGACTAAATTATTTTTTGCTTCTTTCTTATGACTGCTCGTATCACTTCTACTAGTAGTCTGTTCCATAATTATGATTTTAAAAACATCCCTTCCTACCTCCAAGTCAACCACCTCATCAATCAAATCCTTTCTTCTAGTTACTATCAAGATAGTCATCTCCTCACATCCCAGTTCCTGAAGAGCATTTTCTCCCATCGCCAAACATTCTCCCCATTGCTCAACTATCCTTTTGAACCTGTTATGGTTCCAACAGTGTAATGGCACACCGATTAATTTAATCCAGGTTACCCTTTCAGACGCTCTGTAAGATTCTGTCCAAGGATTAACTTCTAGGAAAACTTCTCATAAGAACGACCAATTATGCTCTTTCATGAACGTATAAAGCTCTTCGTCCACGAATTCTAAAAGAAAATCTCTCCCTCCCAAAAACTTAGTCCTGACCTCTCCCAAGCCCCCTGCACGTAATCTATCAACCACCTAAGTCGAAGAACATACCGTTGCCATAGTACCCACTAGACATTTCTACAACTTTCGAACGACCTCATCATCAATAACCCCCTGTATAGAACTACTCCTCCTTCTTGTCTGTGTCTTAGAACCTTCTTCTATAATGTTTTTATCGTTAGGTACCCTTGTGGTTGTATTGGAATTTGAAGGACTATTCAAGTCCTCTCTTGGATTCTTTGCTTTATACCTTGCTTCCTTCACTGAAAGTCGATATCCGAACTGCCAAAATCCATTAAGTCTTTGTATTGCTCTCTCTATATCTTCTTTTTTTGAGAATCTAACAAAATCAAATCGTTTCCCCGTTCTGTCATTCTTCCTACCTATGTAAGAACTAACAACATCTCCATGCCTACCGAATAATTGCCTCAGTCCACTCCAATGATATCTAGGAGGAATGTTTTGCACAAACAGAGTTTGAACCTCACCTAACTTTCCTGAAGCTTTCTCCGTCGTATGAGCTGCCATGAGAACGTTCTAATTGTGCACAGTTAACTTTATGGCATGGGTTTTTTAGGCCTAACAAGCTAATGTTCTAATTGTACTGACGCAAAAATGGACTATTCCTGACACTGACAGACTTCTGCTCCGGTGGGGGCACTTGTAGAAAAATGACTGGATAACACCCTCAAGCATGTGGCTCACTCTCTTTATTGTGCAAAACATAGTATCACCTAGCTCTACTAATGTTTTTCTAGTGGATTCTTACGCAATCTAGGGAACAAATTTGAGTTGTTGGAAGCAATGAATTGTGGTCACTTCCATATTCAGTGATGGACAATATGTCCATCACTCCCCCCCCAACTATTGATGATTTCATATTGCTTTTGAAGCCCCATATCGTGCCATCTACCATTAATGGTATCTGATGCAAAAGTCTCTTAGAAGCAGCTACTTGTATAGGAGGATCATTGGTATGGTAATGTGGTTTGATTATCTTAGCCAATTAGCTAAATTGCTGACTGCTGAACAGAAAACAAATTTTCTCGTAGGGTTGAAGTACTGAAAGCTTGCTTTTATTTAAAACTCTCGTATTCAGATATATTAAACATATATTTATATCTAACATCAATAATAATCCCTTTTAATAGGGTGTAAACGAACAGAGTGTGTAACGAATTATTCATGAACAGTTTGTATAATATCCATTTATTAGGCTAAATAAATGAGTGTAACCAAAATTTTATGCTTATTTAACGAAAAAATGAACAAGCACAAAGGTGTGTTTGGTTCGTTCCTGTTCATGAACAAGCTCGTTTATAAGCTTGTTTACTTGGTTCTTATTTTCCTTTTAATTTTTTACATTTTAAATATTGGTGAAGATATGGACTAAATTGAATATAAAGTTAACTTTGAAGTTTAAACTGTGAAGCTTAAAGAACTTTAAGACTAGTGTTGTAATTTTACCATTTTTTAACTTTACAAGGGTAAGAAAAATGATGGTTGCCTAACAAACTAATGTTAAAGGAATATTAAACGAATATTTGCAAATGTTAAATGAATATGTTCGTGAACTCTAAATAAATGAATATGAACACTTTCAAAAATAAATAAACGAATATGAACACTTTCAAAAATAAATACACGAATATGAACACAATACTAAAATTTAAACTAAAACGAACTATACATGAATTTGTTCAAAAATAAACAAATGAACATGAACATAGCTTTATTTGTTCAAACTCGATTCATTTAAACCCCTATCTTTTAAGCACAAATTCATATTAGATTATAGATATGTTAATTCCGGAAAATAAATTACTTTTTAGTGTAATTACTACTTTTTAGCATATTTTCAAGTTATGATCTTAAAAATTAAGATTCAAAAAAAAAATGGAGTGAAGTGAAGTGTGAACCATTTTAATGGATTTTTCTTTTCAGCCTTTAATTTGATAGATTCTAGTAGATATATTTTAACCAATTAGCCTACCAAACCATTGTCATCTTCTTCATGTACTTTCAATCTACTATGCTTTTTTGTTTCTGCCCAGACACATCACAGGTGCCATCAAAAACAACACTTGGATTTGCACCAAGGTCCAATAAAAAATACACTCCCTTTGTCTTCCATTCAACTCTTCTTTTTTCTCATGTGTTTTGGCAGGCATGGAAAAAACATTTTCCAATTCAGGAATACAGTGGTAGATCCATGTTTATCTTAAAATTCAATATTTTATTAATTATTTTATTTATCGATTATGTATATTCTAAAATTTTATTTGTATCTATTTCATATAAAATTTTGTATTATAAATATACATATGTTCACTTTAAAAAATATTTTTAAATCAATCATTGTATACATAATAACAAAACTTGGGTGGTTTATTCTACATTATCGCATTTTTGACTTTGTCTCATTCATAGGCTAATAGTACACACACGTATATATATATATATATATATATATATATATATTAATCACCAGCATTTCAATCATCCACATTTGATTATAAACTACATCCAAGTATTATATATGGGAATGGTACAAGTGAGCTTTGGTTGAATGATTGTTTAGTGAATTTAGGTACGTTTCGTTACATGGGGTGCCCTTTTATGGTCGTCTACAGGGAAAGCAATCAGATTACTTTGTAGATGATTCTCGGTGTGTGATGGAGAGCATGTATAGTCAGTCGTGTCTTCTTCTATGAAATATTATGTGTATCATATAGATAAAAGAATATGATAGCAACACAGTGAATTGTGAGTGAACCCAACAGTACTGATAAAAAAATGAAACATGGTGCAGGCACACTGAATTTGGGTACAGAAACTGACACAATTGATCAGCTAAACGAACCAGATGATTCATTAATAATAAAGTATACAAATAGTCATCTACAATGAGTATTGTTTTGTTGAGTTTTATGATTATTAAAAGTTACAAAATAATTCTTCAATTATATAAGGTTATTTTGTTATATTCCCAACTATTACAAATTTAAAAATGTTCACTTGACTATTAATATTTTCTGAACTCGTAATTTTCTGTTAAAAATTGACGGTCAACTGAGCTAGATGTTAACATAATGCCTGATTATGATAAAATAATGTTTTAATGATGTCTATTGGCACCACCATTTTTTTTTCAAGCACCAACTCGACAACTCAATGGTTTAAGCACTAACTCGACGATATAATGTAAACGGAGAGTCGATCCACAAAATATTGCTCAAACAGTTATGATATCATATTTTATCATATCATAGTCAACAGGTTAACGTCCAGATCAGACAACTATCAAATTTTTAATTGAAAAGGACAAATTTAAAACATATGAATAGTCAAGTGATTATTTTATAAATTTTAATAGTTGAGAGACTTAACAAAATAATATCTTATAATTAGATGATCATTTTATAAATTTTAATAACTAATAAATTCAATACAACAGTGATTTATAACCAGGAAATCATTATGTACTTTATCCAAATAATACAAGGATAAATAAATCCATCTTGTAAATATAGTTGTCACAAATTGATTACCATTGGAAACTTAAAAAGAGGATAAATCCGCTTTGTGCTCAAATCCTTTTGAATCCTGACAATATTTTTGCCTAAATTTCTTTATTAAGAAAGTTTATAGCGTCAATAACTCCCTTTCTTTAACCATCCTCTGCTTTTATCATTTTGTGAATGAATCTTTCTTTTTTCAAAACAAGGGAAACATACATCATTGTAGGAGTGGCAAAACTCTTCACCTTTTCTACGTTTGATTAGTATTCAGATAATTTATATGATATGAACATAATTTGTATTCAAATTCGAATAAGATAAAGTTTTGAAATAAAACCAACATTATTTACTAAACAGTTAATCAATTTTCTTTAATTTTCTTACTCTTGTCTCTCAGGTGGCGCACAATATCATAATAAAAATTCAGTCTGTTCTACAAGCAAGTTTTATTTATTTAATTAATGTTTTATTGGGGGGTTATTTTTCTCTTAATCCACCTAGGTAGTGGATCAACCGCAACAATTCATTATTGTGATAAAAATACTAATGTCTAAGCCAAGAAAACAGCACAATGTTTTAAAAAATAATGAAACCATCAGCTGAATATATAATATATTTTTCTCATACAACCACCGTCTAGGAATCTGGTTTTTCAAGCCCCCCATTGATGTTGAAGTTGCTAAGATGGACATATTCATCTCCTTTTTCAAGCTCATGCCGTTCAACTTTGTGTTGATATCAGTGTTCTTCTCTTTCCTGCATGTAATCTTATGTAAAGTCTGTAGAGCTCCAAAATTATCAGAACATGGCCCCCAACTTATCCTGTAATCGTCTGTTTTATTTCCTTCTACAAGAACCGCATTCGATTGTTAGATTGGTACACTGAGCTGATCGCCGAATCAAACACTAGCACGATCGTGGTAAACCGTCTTGGTGCTCGGAGGACTATTGTGACTGCCAATTTGGAGAACGTTGAGTACATGCTTAAAACCAACTTCAATAACTTCCCTAAAGGCAAGACCTTCACTAAAATACTAGGTGGTTTTCTTAGCTATGGAATATTCAATGTGGAAGGGGAGCTTTGGCTCATTCAAAGGAAGTTAGCAAGCCATGCTTTTAGCACAACTTGTTTGAGAGAATTCATGATAAGCTCATTGGAATAAGAGGTGGAACATCATCTTTTACCCTTGTTGGAATCATTGGCGGATGCATCATCAGTGGTGGACATCCAGGACTTGCTTAGACGACTTGCATTTAACATCATCTGCAAGGTCTCATTAGGGGTGGATCGATGTGGTTTAGACCTTTCTCGATCCGTTTCGCCTCTCAACAAAGCTTTCGACATCACCGGAGATATGTGCCAAAAGTGGAGCTGCTCCTTTGTTATTCATTTGGAAGGTCAAGAGATGGCTCAGAGTTGGATCAGAAAAAAGGATGAGGTATTCAGTTGAAGAAGTTCATGCATATGTTGAAGGGATCATTCATGACAAGAAGAAAAAGACCGACTACAAGTGCGGCGGTGAAGATTTGCTATCAAGGTTGATAACGGCTGGGCATGATGAGAGATATGGTCATAAACTTCATCATGGCAGGCAGGGACACAACATCAATAGCAATGACAAGGCTGTTTTGGTTGCTTTCATGCCATCCAACAATAGAGGAAAAATTGGTAAAGAGATACAAAAAATGGGAGAAAGATTGTTAGATTATGAATCATTGAAGGGATTGGAATTGTTGAAAGCTTTACTTTCTGAATCCATGAGGTTGTATGGACCAGTAGCATGGGACTCCAAGCATGCCATGGTGGATGATATTTTGCCTGATGGTACTTCAGTCTAGGAAGGGGATAGGGTTACCTATTTTTCCAATAGAATGAGGAGGATGGAAGCATTATGGGGAAATGACTGTAATGAGTTCCGACCGAGCCACAACCACATAGGATCACTAAAGAAGGTGATGTGATCCCAATAAGCTCTAACTTTCTTCTTGATTTGATTAAATCATTGA